AACCTAGTATGACTAGAGCGGTCATGAGAACCCTGTCTCAATGACTATTCACGAAAGACTCAGTCATGAGTCGAACTCAAACCCTATCTAGGATCGAGTCGCGAATAAGGCTAAGAGCCGTGTATTCCATTTACTATATGTTTTGCTGTATGAATCTACCTACAAGTTAATTTATGAGTTTGTACTCTTTTACTATACGAATATACACCTGTGCAGGATTCATGTTCCGTTTGGCGAATAGATGCATGTTTCAACTATCACCTTTACTTAAACCTGTGCAGGATTCGATTTTTGCTGGTAAACAGGAGATATAAGGTCGATAGTTCGAATCCTGCATAACATCCCTTTTTGCACCTGTGGCATCTTTTACTATATATAATACTGTATGTTTCTACATACAGATGCAGTCACGAATTCTTATTAGGTGTCGTTGTGTCCAAGGAGGAAATATGTATTCCAATCCTGCATATCAACGCTTTTACACGCTTTAATGTAGCATCATTTGCTATAAAAAAGGCTGTACGAATCGACTAATTCACGATGCTGCATACCCCGGTGAAAAGGAATTTGGTATCGTTTATGTAAACCACTGTGGGAAACTATAGTAAAATAGTAGGATTGTGCTTTTTCAACACGAAATTATACTCTATCTCGCTTGCTAGCTAGTACTGTACGTAGCAGCTACTAGCTAGCTAGCTAGATTTGCAGTGCTTCCTCTTTCTATCTCTACCCCTTGCTTTTAAATAATTTTATTTCAAATAAAGCCCATGCTCCTCAGTGGCTGCCCATAGGGTCGTTAAAGACGGCAACACAATGGTTCTTCGCCATTCCGTCTTTCACAAACGCAATGATTGAACACCTTTTGAATCTCCCCTCAGACAAAGTAGTGTACATAACTTTCGTGATTCTAGATGATGATACTGGCAATCACTATCTTCAAGGATTCATCAAGACGTCTATCTGCTGCCGCGAAAACTTGCTAGTGCGTCCCATAGGCTTGGGCTTCTTTTCTATATGCTCGACCGTTGACAGTATAGCCAACACATTAGTGGAAATCCGGTTAAACAAGAACTGGGAATTCGGTGACGCCCTCAAAGCAAACATTCAAGGCAAACGATGTGATATAGATACATTCAAAAGAGACGCCGAAGCTGGAACTCTCACGATAGATCAATTGAAGACCCAACACTTTAAAGTCTGTGAAAAATACTCAGACCTCCCACTACAATAGTTCAAGACAACCCAGAAGAATCCAAACACAATCGACAAAGCAACTCAATGTAAATCAGCCCGAGGCCTCAAGAGGCCAACCTATTTGAAAATGAACACCCCCTCACTGAAATGAAAGTCAAGGCCTAATTCCTTCAGAGTGAAAAGATTACATAAAAGAGTTGAATGAAAGTCGAGGATCTCCCTATATTTTCTTCTATTATAGAACAGGCAGGAAGGACTTTGACAATATGCCATTTATAGATGCAATAGGATGCCCATCAATTTAAAATTCAAGTTCAAATTATAAAATTAAATAAGATTAATCCTCATCCTCCCAATCAATCCCAAGCACTTCATTCACACCATCCTTCTCCTCGTATTTGATCAAAGTGTAGCCATAGTTCGGTACATAGGTTCTGTCACCAATAACAATCCCTGTAGTGTATCGATCATCATCATCACAGCCTGCGTCATAGTAACCCCAGGCTCGTGGTCGTGCATCTTCCTACAGTAGGGACATTTGATCTCGGTGGTACCCCGCTTCCTTAATGCAGTATCCCTACAAATACTTGTGCAGCTCCTCCAAACTAATAGGAACCCCATTAGCTATAGAATAGTTGGTCGTCGTACGTGGTGATGCTTTCTTTCTTACACCAAAATAAATATCAAGAGTACCGTACCATTGCTTTTGTGTTGGAATGTAAATTGGGGGACCATTTAATATGGTGGGGCAAATCAATTTTGAGTTTTCCCCCTTTTTTCTAATTTATTGATCTAAACATCCAAAATGAAAATTTTTGAATATGTTTTCTACATGACACCACTTTACCAAAGGTACGGTATCCTTCACCATAGCAAACCTTCTTGGGACTTGTGGGTGTAGCATCCAGTAAGGATAACATCTACTAACAGCAGGTGGTGCACTAGCCCGGTGCACCTCCCCCTTAGAAACCCTCCGACTATCAATTAACTCATTCAATAAAACTAAGTCGTCATCTTTGTTCGTAGCACGCCTCGTAGAATCTAATAACCAAAGAATCTAATAGCCAAGGTTATTAATAACGTCATCTAAAGGGATGTTAATCTCCGTCTTAATTTCACTGGTTACCAGTTAGTACATCTCACCGGTAAACACTTGAAGCACGATTGGAGAAGATTCAGGGACGAGTAAAGACAGTTATGAGAGCAAGCCGAGACTGTGTATCCGCCCCTGTCACACTTTGTTTGCCAGCCCAAAGTTGCTGGCAAATGGCAGATATTATCCTGTATCATCCTGTACAGACACCTGGCTACTTTGGAGCGCAAATGAGGATTTCCTCATTTAATGAATGCATGGTGTTAAAAGAAAACAGACAACCTAACATCACCTAGCTAGTAAAGTGATTATCAGTCGTTACACCTTGACATTAAGACACATAGATACATTTATACCCTTACATTACAGAGACCCAAATAGTGAAGTTTCGAGTTTTGAGTTTCGATTTCGAGTTTTGACTTCTTTCATGTTCGAAAATAATTTATTTTGGTTGTTTTAGATTTGTGTCCTGAATAAGACTTTTTCGAGTTTCGACTTTTGAAGATTCACGGTCTGCCACCACCACCAGCAACAAAAGACGGCTACCACCAGCTAGCTAGTACCACAATCGTCTCGACCATGAGGAGCTATGAGGAGACAAGCATTGTGCCAAGTGGTCTAAGTAGCCGCCTCAAGGTCGGCTCCTGCTCTGAGCAATGGGACGAAGATACAGCTGCTACCTTCCAGCCAACAGAAATACAGACTTACAATGTACTAGTACCTTCCATTCCGTCGAAGGGAAAAAGTCATCGATCCATCGAACCAAGCACTACTGATACCATACCAGAGAGGAGCATGTCATGGTGGAGCCTTCTTCAAAAGGAGTAGCCGCCGCTGTAAGGAAAAGAGCATTGTCTTGATAGAGTAAAGATAGATTGAAACAATGAATACCAAAAGAGGAGGATACGAGTGGCTTTTATGTTTATCAGTCGGCGGCCATCCCTCGTGGTCCTCTCTTAACCGACCATGTGTGTTGTCAACGTGGTTTGTGGGATTGAATTAACAAATGCCATATCCACAGCTGCAACAACAATTTTCCACATTCTGATGCAATTCCTATGGCTATTTGTTGTACCAGAAGATGGAAAATTGGACTTGTTGCTCATCTACTGGTGGTTGCCTAATGGAAGGTTAAGAGAGGGTAAACAGTCGGAACCTCTCTGACTCGAAGACTGAATCTCCGATGGTTGAAAGAACAAATCCTTCATAAAATGCTTGCTTCCACCATCGAAAACAGCGAAAGCTATGCACTTTTTCCTTCTTTCTCGCTCCACACTCCACAATGGCTGCTTCGAGCCGTCGACCATGAAAACAACCAACAACAGCTGATCGTTCGATCGTCGGCAGCAACAACAAAGAGTCAGTAGAAGCTGTAGCTGTAGGGCGTGTTGTCATGCTGTATGTACCTGGTAGCCATTGTTCTGTGGCTCGACAAGTCTAGCTTTTTAATAAAGTAAGGTTAGAGGATTGGGAATAAGTAAATCACTAGTGGGATTGGTTGATCACTAGTGAGAAAAGTCGAAAAAGAAAGTCGAAACTCGAAGTTTTGAGTTTCGACTTATTTTCTTTTGAAGCGAAAAAAGTCAAAATTTCGTGTTTCGAGTTTCGATTTTCGAGTTTAAAACCAAAAGACGAAACAAAAGTCGAAACTCGAAATCGAAACTCGAAATAAAAGTCGACACTTCACTATTTGGGACACGCTATTTAGAAATATTTGGTGCAAAATTGACCCCTTCTAGTAAACACCCAATATGACACTATCAACTACACTATCTCAACAAAATAAGACAATGTCATTCAAAACAACATTATTGCTGACAAATACCATTCAACAACTAGGTCAATTGGTTGAATATTGACTGAGATTTGGAAACCATTCTGGCCGCCCAGCCGCTCAGGAAGTCTTCAAAACTCTCCACCACCTCGGTCTCCGAAGTCCTCTATCTAAGCAATTCCTAATCATTCCTAAGTACGAAATAAATATAATAAGTACCACCCTTTAAAATACCATCCGATACTCCACTTACATGCCGGGTGAACCTCTTCCATTCAACCAAGCGGTAAAGTTGGCCACCAGCCGCCGAAACCCGCGCCGCATAACCTGTACTCGTCCGGGCGCTTTTTGGTACAACCGTCCGTAGAAGCCTTCGGAAACTTCAACATGATATAGTTAGAGGTCGAGTAATAGCTTGTTTGAAAGCTAATTCTTTCCTCTATCCAGTCATATATATCACTTAATATGTTTCTGAATGTGGCTTAAGCTAATAGACTTTTGCTTATAAACAGCCATATTGTGAGTACCGGTCAGGTCGCCACAGACGAAACAGCTTATAAGTATGGGGAATCACTGAAATCAGTAAGACTTATACAATCTGGTTTTACTGAAAACAGCTAAAAGGAAAAATGTCCAGTGGCCAAACTCAATTTAAGTGGCTTTTTTATATGATCTTCATTACGAATACGGCCGGCTCGATCCTACATAACGGACCACTTGTCTTGTTGCACCAAAGCTCCCGGAGGAGTACTGTAGACGGCCGACGGCCGGACGGGCGTGTCGCTCATTGCAACCATCGCCACGCCCCACCAAAACACAGCACCAGCAACAACGACAACGACAACAACAACAACAACGACAACACCCTAACGACCCCCAACAACAGCAAGGATTATAGGGACAAACAAAAAATATAAAGGGACAAACAAAAACAACAATATGGAACAAAAGATAATTCAAATTCGGTCGAACGACGGCGCTGTAGTAAAAAGAGCGCTCATCAACTCTGAGGGTCTCTCTCGTTGGCTGCAAGAGCTTAGCGAAGAGCACGACTTGGAACCCGGTGTCAAGTACAAGTATTTACTTGATGCTGACTGTGTTGGTCATGACGAGTATGGCACCTTGAAAGCAGAAGTTATCTATAGTCTGCCTCCCGTTAGGAAAAAGCAAAAGACGACGTCATCGACGATAGCAGAATTGATCAATGTCAAGAATTTTGACGCGGCCTTTTCGAAGCTAGAGGAGACCTCCGTCCAGTTTAGGGAAAACGATATGGAGGCTGAGAATGACATTTGCAGCCCAGTCAAGATTCACGATACATGGATGGGTCACGAAGAAATTTTGAAGCAAGACCTCAGGGACACTTGTGCAAAACTACGACTGAATATTGAGATGCAACCCGAAGGGAATCGCACAGCACGAGTGGTAGGTATTCGCCTGGGTACTGGCTGTGGGAAGTCACACCTTCTCCTGGAGGCTCCGAATATTCTCAAGCATCATGGGATCTACATCACCTACAATTTAGAGCAAGATCTGCAGTACAATATCAATTACCCTTATCGGGCAATTTCGCTTCGAATTCTACTCCGTCTGGCGAAACTTCCCAACAGAGCATTTCCCAAATTCCTTGCCAGCGAGATTGGTTTTCCTCTGCTCTCAGTGGATCCCAGTACGCGCCGGCAATTTGCCGTACAACAGCTGGAAAAATCGACAATTCTGTCCTTATTGGAGTGGATGAGGTCATGGAACTGAAAAACGTTGGGACCATCCATCAAATCGCGTCACTGGCAGGAGAAATCGCGGCTGAGTGCTTCCAAGAAAACAAACACCAGCAAGTGTCATTTTTCATCACATCTCTTCGAATAGCTGCTTTTTCTACATCAAGCGGGAGGCCTGTCATACCATTCGATCCACCAATCGCGGATGAATCGGCGGTAGAAGTTGTACTTCGCGAATACCTGCACGGACGCGACATGGAGAAGTGCAAAGCCTTGGTCATTTCTGCCGCTGGTTTTCACTTTCGATCTATGGTATTTGCCGCACAAGTGATTGCTAAGGAATTAGATCCAAAAGTGCCATCGGTTCTTTCAGAAGTCTTTCAACGGTGGAAAGTGAGAGTTGGGGGTTTCGAGGACCTGTGTGAAAATATAAGAGACTACGTGTCGGATTGTTGCAAAGGGGTTTCGAGAGGATCGCAACCGGAGAAAAGAATGAGCAACCTGGAAGATTTTCTTGACCGTACAGGAGCTCTCCCTCCTCCTTTGATATGTTGTGCATTTGGTGTCATCTCTGACGATCAGACCGGCGTCGGCAGTCGCATGATCGACAGGAAGCACCCACTCTTTGGCCTTTTCAACTGCGAGTTCGCCTTTATGGATCCAGCAAAGCACTTAGAGCAGTTCGGCACATTCTATGACCTCTTCCGTTCAAGCATCCGTTTGCCTGTGCTATCCGGAAAGCAAGAGGTCGTAGTCCCTAGGAAGGCCAGCAAGCACGCTACAGACTGGTTCCACAAGCTCGAATACCCGAAAGGAATGACCATTAGCACAGAGTCCATTTTGGAGGTTTGTGCACGCAAGCCAGTTCTCACCAAAGAAGGCAAGAAATTGTCCGAAGGGAAATACTACGCACCTTCTGCTAGGCAGCACCCGTTAATTGACCGTGCTTTCGTTGCATCCTATGGAAGGGATCAGGCTGTTGTGCTCATACAAGACAAGCTAAGCAAGGACGAACCGAAAGCAGTCAAAGATCTCAATGCTGCGGCAAACTTGATTCGAGCACAAAACACAGAAATGGAAGTTCTATGCATTGTGAACATTATTGGAGCCGGGGCGGCGACAACCGCGCAAGACTCGCTTGAACACCCCTACACCCTTGTCCGAGAAGATGAATTAGACGGTTTCTATTCCGTAAACTTTTCTGGTGTTGCTAGGTTCGCTCGTCAGCGGAAAGAACTGGCTAATTCTCAAGAAGGTGAGTGTTCGGGGTAGTTTTTTGAAAATAGGGTATCATTCCCGACCTTTAAAAGGGGTTCTTCCTGTTCTTGCCCTTGAAATGAGTGTTTGGTCTCCCTTCTGGGTTACTCGGCATTTTGTCTATTTAAGGCTATTGTATCTGATTACAGAGTTGCCTAAATGTTCTATGCACCTTTGTAAAAGTGGCTTATGTCTCACAATGTCTCACAATGTCTCACAATGTCTACTAATGTCTACCAATGTCTACACAGTACAGTAAAACAGTACAAAAATGTCTCACTTTGTCTACCAATGTCTCACAATGTCTCACAATGTCTCACTTTGTCTACCAATGTCTACCAATGTATCACTTTGTCTACTAATGTCTATCAAAGTCGCACAATGTCTACTTTGTCTACTTATGTCTACTAAAGGTGTGTAGACATTTACTAATCGCCAAAACACTTTCCCAAACAGACAAAATGCCGAGTAACCCTGTAGATCCCGCTCCCTTCTGTAGATCCCTAACCCTATAGGGGGCCGAGGTGAGATTTTCCATTATTACCTCACCTCGGTCCCCCGTCCCCCGAAGTGACCCGCTTTTTCCTATAGTGAAACAGTATTTTTTCCCCGATGGGTCACTTCGTACTTAACAACCTAAACTTCCCCGTCCCCTGAACTGACCCATACATCTATTTAACAAACACCATCAAAGATTTAACAACTCAACTTCTAGCTAACTAGCTAACTCAACTAGCTAACTTACTAACTAGCTAACTAACTTATCTAACCCAACTCAAATAACTCAACTTCTAACAACTAACTCAAGCTAACAAGCCTTGCGGCGACTGAGCGTACCGCAAAGTAATCAACTAACACTAAGTAACTCATTTAACACTAACCCACTTCTATCTAGCTAACTAACTCACTTCTAGCTAACTCAACTAGCTAACTCAACCCACTTCTAACTATCTATCTAGCTAACTTACCTCAACTCAACCTCTAGCTAACTACTTCCTCTAAGCCCGAGGCGATTGAGCGGGTACCTGTTTAAGTAGCATTCCACCACTCCAAACTTCACACTATGCCAAACTTACACCATACCAAACTTCACCAGGCAAAGGCGTTTAGTTCTCACAACCTCGAGATGACCAGCTCACCTCCCGCAAGTACAGTAATCGACACACGTCACAAAGCTTCACAATGGCGCTTCATGTTCCCGGGCTCGCAGGTTAACACTAAAACTATAAACCGCATCTCCAATTCAACCAAAACAAAGAACATACTCTACATCACGTTTGCAACCTGCAACGACAACACTGGCAACAAATACATCGAAGGCTTTGTAAAAACCATCTCCCGTTGTTGCATCAGTTTCTTAAGGAAAACAATCGGACCAGCCATCTTCACCGTAGTCTATCATGTACCCGATATCCTCATGGAAATCCGGATGAAGCCAGCGTCTTTAGAGTATGGTGATACAACCTCAACACAGGTCAACAGTCTTCGTGACGCCATAACCTCTTTCAAGTTCTATGCGGCGTCCGGAAATTTCTCGACAGCACAACTGAAGTTAACATACAGAGAACTCTTCACCAAATACTCAGAGTATGCACTACTCTACATTGAAGTGCACCCCTAAATTCTATTAACCTCACTGCAAAGGCACGGTTCGTGATAAGGCATAGGCAAGCGTTCGATAACAGTTGAATCGACACCTCCGCTCGTAGCCAAACCGTTATGAATCTCATTGTAGATCAAACTCAGATGATGCAAACTAGACTCCTCATCAATATCATCCGGAACGACCATACATAAAGAATCTAGCCATTCATGGTACTCAGTAGGATCCCTCGGAACCCCGCACAAGCAACACTTCCTGATTTTCAAATCGTACGAAGCCTTCCTCGAAGTGACAGGGAAATCATACTCAATGTATCCAACAAACCTATCACCTACATGAGAACATTCCACACGACACGAACCTCCACCACACTCCCCAATGCCACCCTGTAAAGCCAGTCAGTCGCATTGGGAACAATGCTGTAGAAAACACTAGAAGAAGGATTGAACAGGAAACACCAAAAATTCCTTTTTCTGCCATCGTCGCGTTTAAAACTTCTCCTTTTCAACAGCTGAATCACATCCATCTCCAAGCTCAATTTGTTTTTAATGCCATGAAGCTTGAAGATCTCCCTAAATTCTACTGGTATTGCCGCAGCGGTAGAAAGGACTTTGAAAACATGCCAAAAGTACATGCAACAGGCTGTCCTTTCTCCAACCATAAAAAATAAGAAATTATATTTATTTAATTACAAATTCAAATATTATCCCAATCATTCCCAACAATCTCATTCACACCATCTTTCTCCTCCATATTCAATGATAGTATACCCGTAATTAGGAATAAAATATCGAACACCAATAGCAATTCCCTCCCCACCGTCCATAGCACAACCCGCCACATGATGCCCAGATTGAGGACCTTGATTATGCATCTTGCCACAGTAAGGGCATCTAATCTTCGTAGTACCTCACTTCCTTAATGCAACAGGAATGCCGCAATACTCCTGCAGGTGCATCCGCATCTCCTCCAAGTCCATAGGAATGCCACTAGCAACAGAATTAGCATTCGCCATGGTCACAACTCCTTGCAATAGCGAAATCTCTGATGTGGATAATTAACAGTAATGTAATTAGTCTGCCAAACTACTTAACAATGATGGAGTTCATGAAACACGAATTTGTAACGGAAGGCTTCATCGCCTATCACCATGCACATGGCTTCCTTCTCCTATGTTGTCTAATCCATGAAGATGAAGAAGTAGACGTCAAACACTGGTTCCCAACGTACACTGTCAGAGAACATGACGATGACACCCCTGAACTCGACCAAGCTCTATCAATAGAAGGATGCATGCTGATCAGCATGACCAACAGCGACCTAATTCATACAAAAAACCTGAAGAACACAAGAAGCCACCTATGTGCACGCCTAGGTCTAACAATCCCAGCCACATCCGTAATAGCAGAATTCGCCTAGTACGCCTAGGCGAATCTAGGCGAATCCCACAACCCGAATTTTAACCTCACCGGTAAACACATCTATAACCTGAATCTTAACCTCACCGGTAAACACGTCTATAACCCGAATCTTAACCTCACCGGTAAACACCTCTCACCGGTAAGCACATACCAGTCACGCATCTGAGCATGGTAACTAGTCAGTTAGCCGTTCACGGCTAACCACCTCGGTCCCCCTTTTCCCTCCAAGACGGTAGTGGAGGCCTCCACAACTCGGGCGGCCACGAAAGGTTATCAGAAACCAGAAGACGGTGGCTTTTTGATCACAAAATCATCTTCCGGTCATGCTCCCAGGGACATTAAGTAGGAAATTGCAATGTGTTTACGAAGTGTTTCAGAGGTTTTCCCCATTTTTGCAGCTTTCCTCATTTTGGCTGGACCTCTGTGGAAACTCGAGTCGTGCTACTTTTCGTCTCCTAAATCCTTTTGATCGTCTCCTATTTAATGGATTTCGTCTCCTAAAAATAGGAGACGAAACGGATCGTCTCTTAAATCTTTTGTCTCCTCTTAAAACGTCTCCTATTTTCAACGGATCGTCTCCTATTCTCAACGGATCGTCTCCTAAGTGTACCATGTAAACTGTATGGTATCGTCTCCTAAATCTTTCGTATCGTCTCCTATTTCGAAACGATCGTCTCCTAATTGGAATGTCTCCTACTGAATCGTCTCCTAAATATAGGAGACAATTGCTTTCGTCTCTTAAATCATTTCGATCGTCTCTTATTCCTCGGTGTATCGTCTCCTAAGTATTTTGCCACGAATGACGTTTCCACAGAGGTCCAGAGGTCCTGGGGAGTAGCTGGATGGGAGAAGATTGTTATCTACCGAGGCAGTACCGATACAGCTCGTGAGCCCAGACTAGCTACACGCAGCAGTACGTCGTACATGTAGGTATCGACAAGATGGCATAGCTAGTACTAGCCACAGGTACCGGTAGCTAGCAACACAGTTATTACTGTCATGAGGAAGACTTACTGCCAAGGTGTCGCTCCAGAGTTGCTACTAGCCGCTTGAAGTCCACTGGTTTGGTCAAATAGTCTGTCATTCCGAAGGATAGACCTTGCTCCTTTTCCCCTTTCATGGCTCCAGCAGACAAGGCGATGATTGGGATCGGGGTTTCGCCTGACCTCTTTTCCTGCTCTCGTATCCGTCTGGTGGCTTCATGGCCGTCAAGGATTGGCATTTGCACATCCATGAGCTTTATTGAGAAAGGGGCAACGAACAATCAAGTAAGTGAGAATATGGGTATCAACATGGGCACGAAAGATGGCGACCAATGGATATCTGCGCGACGACTTACCACAATGTCATAAACATCCCCTAATGCTTGTATTGAGTTGTAGGCATTGACTGCTTCTTCCCCGTTGCAGGCAAGCGTGACATCATAGCCTGTCCTCTTAAGCATCCTGTGGACCAACTTGCGGCTCACCGGGTCATCTTCCGCTACGAGAATCTTGCATTTGTCGTGTTTGGCTTTGCTTTCCTTGTCGCTTTCTTTACTTTGACTGATGATAGAAGCTGGCATGGCCAACGAGGGGAGCGGTGACTTAAGCTTCATCTGACTTGGACGATACGGCAGCGTGAAAGCGAAAAGAGACCCTCGAATGGGGCCAAGCACGCTCGACTCCAGACGCATCTCGCCACCCATCATATTCACCAGCTTTCGTGAAATTGTTAGGCCCAGTCCTGGAGATGCAGGAAGCAGCAATACGTGAGCGGCGTGCAGCTATCCATCCAGTACTATCCATGATGCCACAACCTTGACTTACCTGTGCCTCCATGCTGTCGAGTATCCGAGATGTCAACCTGACGGAACGGCTCAAAAATCGATTCCACGTGTGTAGCGGGAATGCCCTTTCCCGTATCGAGCACCGAGAACTCCAAAGTGTCCGCGTTGATAATCTTGATGTTAAGCTCGACTTTGCCATTGTTGGTGAATTTGATTGCGTTGGATATCAAATTGTTGATGACCTGAGCAGAACGAAGGACAGGAATGGTTAGTCACGGTCGCATCATACATTTCAAAAGTACCAGCGATAGCAAAGTACGTCTTACCTGCTGCAGTCGAAAAGGATCCCCTAGTATGACATCCTGTATTTGGTCATCCACATTGCACACAAACTGGATGCCTTTGTTTTTGGATATGATGATTGCCTCCGCGATACTTGTCGTTTGCCCCATGGTTCCCTTGACGGAGAATGATTCATCCTTGTGTACCACCATTTGGCCCGCCTCAATCTTGGACAGATCAAGAATGTCTTCAATGATGGACAGCAGGAGTGCCCCACTAGTCTTGGCAATGTTGAGGCCTTCCACGTTTTCCTTGCGCAATTCTTCCGAGAGTCCATTGCTCAAAGCCAAATCAATGTGTCCCATGATACCGTTCAGTGGCGTTCGAATCTCATGACTCATTTGTCCCAAAAAGGCGCTCTTGAGTCTGTCGGCAATCTCGGCCTGTTCTTTGGCACGCAAGAGTTTGTCGGCCCACTGTTTTCGTTCCGTGACATCGGTAAAGGTCGCGTACACTTGATAGGGCTTGTCTTCTCCTGGTTTGAAGCGCGGGACGGCATCCACGGTGATCCAGCGGTTTTCATCGCTTTCCGGATGATACACGCCCATGATGACGCCCGTCACTTTTTGACCCGTTTTCAGCGCTTGCATGGAGGGATGCTCGTTTCCGGGAAAGTCGGATCCATCTTCTCGGACCGACTTCCATCGGGGGTCGACGGACGTGCGTCCGCACATTTGATCGACCGTCAAGCCTAGAATCCGTTCCGACGCGGGGTTGGCGGCAATAATGGCGCCCGAGACTTCTTGATAGACTACTCCCTGTATCATGGACTCGAACAAGTTGCGATGTCGTTCTTCGCTTTCCCGCAGTGCTTCTTGGGATTCCATTTGTTGTGAAATCTCCATGAACAGGACGGCAAATCTCCGTTTCTTGGGATCAATCTGATAGCACACGCCGGAATACCAATTCTTGAGATGCTCGGAGAAATGAGTAAACTTTTGCGTTTCCCCAGTAATACCCACAGTGCCAAAGAGCTGGATCCAATCGGCTTGATCGCCTTCAATACCCGGGAACGCCTCGGTGAGTCGTTTGCCCACACAGTCGGCGGCGCTGACTCCGAGGAACTGTTCAAAGGCTGGATTGATGTCGCAGAAAGTGTAGTCATTGGGTTGATCGTTTTCATCCGTGACCACCTCACAGACGGCAATGGCGGTTTGAATGTTTTGAATCATTTCGTGGTACAAGCCATCTTCGAAAATGGGAATGTATTTTGTCGTGTCTTCGATTTCCACGTCTTCCTCTAAATGCGATGGATCACTGTCGAAGCGATCTTCCACCATCATCATCGTCTTGTTGTTGTTGTTGGTGGTGGTGGTAGTCGAGCCCGTAAACTCGCACGAGCCAATAACTGTGCCCTTGGAATCCTTGAGCGGAAAGACGACGGGAGCGCCACTCCCAAAGTACGACGACGAGGAGGACTCATGGCTAGGAGTTGTCGTGTTGGTACATCGACTCGACTCGTCGTCGCCGTCGAGGGATTTTACCGCTTCAGTTTGAGAAGCACTCGAACTGTGCACTGCCCCACCTTCGTTTTCCAGAATACATTGACCCTCCAAGTCTTTGACCACGATGTGGGCTGGAATGGAATCAAAGAGGCATCGGAGGATTTCTCCCTTGGAGAGATCTATCATCTTGTGGTAATTTACTCTGTTCTCTTCTACTGTCAATTTTTGTTGCTGCTGCTTCAATGGTCGTTCAATGTAGGTTGCTGTGGCTCTGATGCTCTGGCTGAAGAGTTGGTGGTGTGGTGGTGTTTGCTTGTTGCTTGTGTGCTTCGTTTCAGCTAGGTTTCGCTGTTTTGCAGGGTGCTTTTCTTTTAGTTTTCGTTGTTCGGTAGTGTTCGGTTTGGCGGTTTGGTTGGACAACATGGCAGAAAAGGTCACCACCATTAATTCTACTATTTACCTTTCGGAGCCACTGATTTATGAGACGTATCACTTCAAGGAAAGACATTCTTAACAGGTTGAAAATATGATTTAGTAAACGGAAGCCAGCGAAATCTACTGAGTAGAGAATAGCAACGAGAAAAAGCATTAAAGTGACTGCATGAATAACCAGGACTTGGGGCAGTCACAAGGCTCTTTTCTCCCTTTTACAGAACCGGACATCGGTACCGTACGGTGCCGGAAGTACGAGTCTAACCAGCCAGCAGTACCGGTACTTTGCATCTGAATCCGGTACCGGTAGCTACTACCCATACCGGTACCGATGTTGTACCTCGCTACACTAGCTGGCTAGCTCCCACAATGCAGCTAGATCTAGCTAGCCAGCCATGGGCGGAGATACAATTTCTGCCGCAAGTGCCTTTGCGCCAGCACTTTCAGCAAGCCCTGGAGCAAGGAGCCCTTTTGGAGACAACGACTTTCGAAACATCATCCCCAAGGATTCCACTGTCGTTGTCGGCCACCACGGATTCTCGGATTTTCGATTCTTCAATGAACAAATTCGCTTTAGGTTGCTTCGGGTTTGCAGCACATACAAAAAGTTGAAGCATTTACTCAAAGCAAGTGTAGATCTAGCTAATCTACCGGTCGATGTCGGTTGCTCTGCGGATGGTTGCTTGCAGGTGCCTTCAATGAGGGACATGCCCATCTTTTTGGGTCCAAATGATGGTTTGTTGGAGGAGGTGCATACCTAGCTAGCTACTAGTAGCGAAATTGTGGAGAGTTGCAAAAGAAGGAGGAGGTGCATGCCTTGCGTTCGCTTCTCATTCGCCGGATCCGATGACAACAGCAGCCCGGGTAGTGAAAAGCGCAACTACCTTTCAGGGGAAAGCGCAACTAACATGCACCATGTAATTTATGCAAGCCATGGTTGTTGAAGTTGATAGCCAAGGTCGTATTCGCTGGTTTCGAGCTATCGACTATCGACTATCATCTGGAGAGAGTTCTTGAACGAAATGCATGGAGCTGCTGAATACGGAGGCGAAGAAATCGCTTCCTCTTACATGTGTGTGTGGGCGGAGGAGATGCATTCTCAAGCGGGCACAAGCTCAAGCAAGTGCTTCGTTGTGGAACCAAGCAGAGCAAACAGCACAGGGGCCAGCCCAAGCAGCGAAGTCACATTCTAGACCGACCACAGACAGTCAACGACGTTTCGTACTAGCTAGGTAGCAAGTATGCCAGATGGCTGGTAAGTCACCTTTCAAGTGCTCTCAGCGTTTCGGCCCTACCATTTGCTGCGCAGTTTTGAAAATTGTCCTATCGATATCTCGAGACGGTATCCGGCTCACTGCGGGTCTCTTGGACCAGCAGTCTCCGCGCTGTCATCTTCTTCTTTCCTTGCTTTCCGGGCAACTGGCCAGCCATGGCTCGCGCCTTCGTTCTTAATGTCTTCTGCTTCGTCCGTTTCACGGCTGTGCTGGTTTCTATCGTTATCTGGGTCTAGCCAGACTAGCCAGCTCCGCAAACCGCGAACAACTGGTTCTCCCATTCAAAGTGCACAGACGGCCATCAAGATGGATTCTCCCATTCATAGTGCGCACCAATGATGTTGATGGTGCTCATGCATAATGATTGTTCTGAGGATGAAGTCTTGTTGTTGATGTTTCAATCAAGCCTTCAATTATTGTTGTCGTAGAATTTGCTTGGGGGTTGCAGATACCAGATTGACCACCCCTGGCATACATCATGGTCAGCCAGCAGGGCCTCTTTCTGATTCTGATCACACAAGGCTAACTAATTGAGTCTACAGATGAAAAAGGTGATGGTTGTAACTTGGGAAACCTGCAATCCTCACCCCTTGCGGGATGAGACCTGGGATGGTACGGTTTTCACTTTTTCTCGGCAACCTCGCTTTTGCTCATTCAACTGGATTCACTGGCATGCTACTAGTACATACATTCTCATTCGTTGAGTCGACTACAGCAATGTTGTCAGCATGTTTTTAGTAGAGGTTGGTTAGTGAAAACGTTATGGTGGTTACATACATACATGCTGAATGGAATCTCCAATGCTGGCTGACCCAGAAAAGTTTAAATGAAATGAAGTCAAGCAACCATGAGAAGGTCAGCTCCAAGCAGGCTGTGTTTGTTGATGAGTTTGGATCTGGAGAGAAGATTGTTACCCTATCCTTCAAGGACCAGTTAAGCTGTGTCAAGGGTCTTTTGGTAAAGTTTGGTACTGGCAAAGTGCCTTGCCCACAAGGATCCATTATGTTGGATGCTGGACCTAGAAACCACAAGAAGGTAGCCAAGCTGTTTATGAAGGTAGAACAAGCAGCCGGAGGCTGATGCCCTCAACTGTCAAAAAGAGATTTGATTGGATTCCCCAATCGAATCCTTAACATCCTTGGCCAAATCCTTTACCGTGTTCAACTGGACACACTAGCAAGTCTCCATAGCCAGCCAGTAAGGGTCCAAAGTACTGTGTCCAACAGAACACACAATATCAATCCCTATCCTTAACAAGGAAAATGTCC